GTGAACAGGGTGAGTCAGCACAGAAAGTGAAAGGTGGGGACAGATGTGCAGTTCCATTACTTGGACAGATTCAGGGTACCTTTCCAAACTCCGTCTCATTTCTTCCATCCATCATATTTCTTAGGCTGTTTCATGCCATCTGGAAATACCATCAGGGTAAGATCATCTCAGCTAAAGATGTTAATAGTCATGCTAAAAAAAGTCAGTCGTAAATCTACAAGTCAGGAAAGAAAATTTTTGGTTTGGCCAAGCTGTACAGATGGAGCCTTTTCTATGCAAACAGTCATCTTCATGTGAAAGTCCTAAGATTATAGTCTCCATTCAGGAAAGCAGCTGTGTGCTTCAATACTTTCCTAAATAGAAGGGTTTTCAGAGACCTGCATGTCTTAGTGACATGAGAGACCAATCGGTTTTTACCAGTATTTTCTTACAGGCCTGGCTAGAAAGCTCACAACCACAAGATCTAGAGTCCCTTTTATTATTATAATTTTCCTTACAACATTTAGCTGGGCTATAGCACTTTTCACCCACAGATCTCAGAACATTGTAAAGGAGAGCAGCTTTATCATCTGCATCTTACCAACAGTGACACACAAGGTCACCCAGTAATGCAGTGACAGAACTGTGATATAACCCGGTTCAAGGCTCTCAAAGTTCTTTGTGTAAATGTGATAACTTTTATTAGACCCACTGAATAGTTGGAAAAATGTTCTTTGCAAGTTTTCAGGCACAAACATCCTCCTTCAGGCATAGGGAGTCTGCTGTTGTTTTGTGTGTTCGATGCTCTCTGCATTAGTCCACTACAGCTAAATGTTTGCTGGTTAAACAGGACTAAAAGAACAGGCCATGCAGGAGGTAGAGGGAGGTCCCACAGAAATGCAGTATCAACACACAGGGTAGCTTGTGCCGGGTCCAGCACTCAGTTGCCTGTTCTTGTCTGAGCAGATCCGCTAGGATCACAGCATGTGCTAAGTAAGTATTGCCGTGAACGTGCCTAGAATTTCAGGTGACCTGCTGCATATCTAAAAAATGTCAAGTTGGCTTGGCACCAAACTTGCCTGCCTCTTCCTTGAAACTTTCATCCCCTGTGCCCGCTGGTTATACAACACATCCAAACAGATTTGCTCACATGATTCATCTCTGCTTATCACACACCCTAAAAATGTAGTCACATGGCCCTCAGGGAGGTTTGCTCCTGGAAAAAGAGGGAGTGGGGGGGGGGGGGGGGG